CTTTTAATTAGAAGCAATTTAAAAGATCTTGTTTGATTTCAAATCTGTCTGCGTATAGAGAAACCGGAATTGTAATGGTAAGGGGAATTGTTTTGCAAATGCCATAAAAGTTGTGCTTAATCGTTAATAAAGTAGAAGGAGAATTATGAGATTTCTTGTTCAAAAATATTTAGTAATAGTTGACAAAGTATGAGGTAGCATATTGAATAATTAAAATGCGCATAAATTGACTCAGACACCACTATCGTAAAAAAATATACTAGCTAACATCTCTAACAACTAAACTAAAAATCGTCAATTGTAGGGGGGGGGGGGGAGGGGGGGTTCTGTCCGTAAAGGACGTTTCTAGAATTTTCATTCTCCTTCTGTTATTAAAGTTGCACTTTGCTAATGTTGCAGTTGCTATTGGTATCTCAGTTAACTCAATCATGCATGTCCTTAATTTCATTAGGTATTATACTCAAAGTGTAATATATAACTTATATAGTAGTACTATGTGACTTAATTATTATTATTATTATTTTGGTAAGAAAAGATGCACATGAACCCACAGAAATAACAAACTAACGCATATAAGAGACTCCCATCACTTTATTACCTCACTAATGTATAGCTAAAAAGTTACATTAACGAACTACTCGAAAACTGTGAAAATAGCACGGGTAGTCAGTTTTCAGAATAGTAATCGAAAAATAGCCAGCGTTTGCAAAGTCAATGAAAAATAGTTATTGTTTTGCTGAAACACGGAAAGTTCCAGTATAATATGCGGGATTATGGAGCTCCTGCATATAAACTTCCGGTATATTATGTTAGAACTCCAGCACAAGGAAAGTTCCAGCATAATATGCTGGATTATGCAGCTCCGGCACATAAACCTCTCGCTTATTGTGTTGGAACTCCAGCACATTATGAAATTCCAGCACATTATGTTGGAAGCTCATATGTAAAAAATTTGAACTCCAATATATTATGCTGGAATATTTCCGAAAATTTCAAGGATGTTTTTGTTCAGATTTTATCTTTACATCAAAAAGTAGCTAAATTTTGATTACTTTTGAAACTGTGGCTATTTTTCAATTACCAGTTGTAAATCTGACTATTTTTTATTTTTTTTCCCGAGAACTTTGACTGTATTTTCTAAATTGCACAATGTATAAAATCACAAGCTAAACTAAAATCTAATATTATATTATCATTTTGAGATATTACATAAGTGAAACAATTGATACTACAAAGAAAACCAACTCTATTATTTTTTAAAATAAAATTAGAAGGTGCCCATTCTTGATTTTGCCCTCAATGAGGTTGGAGACAATCCATGTTGCTATGATAACCAGTTGAGGTTCAAAGAATTTTTTTGCATTTTATTCATCATTTTTCTCACCAACTTTTTATCAAAAGAATTTTCTTCATTCGTGTGCATGATCTAATAATGAATGGAAATTATTCCAGATTCTCAACCAATTAAGTCTCAATCTCCATCCTATTTATGGTGGTTTTATTATAGTCTCAAAAATGGGAAATCTTCTAGTAACGGCAAAGTTGTCTCCGTGTAACATATAGGTTACGGTTCGAACCGTAAAAATGCTTGGGTTAGAGTAGACTACTTTCTCCGGATCCTACGCAAATGCGGCATGTTTTGTGCATCTTTCTGCTTTTTTTTTTCTTTTCTTATTATAGTCTCAGAATTTCAATTCTTAGGAAATTGCACTTTTGGTTATAAGGTGTTTAGAGAAGGTTGTCTGGTTTGCACATGGTAGTATATATGGGTATTTATTTCAGTTAGATGAGTTGACTTGTAAGAGAAAACCATAAATTTAACTTAATTAGTTGACTTAGTCTTTTTTTTGGGTTGGGGGTGGTTAAGTTTCTGCCTATGGAGGACAATTCTAGAGCTTTCGCGCTCTCTCGGTGCACAAGGCAATCCGCGTTCACAATGAGTTTGAAAAAGGGCCATACCCTAACGGACGTGATGTAGACAACCTACCCTAATGCATGTATTAATGGCTGCTTTCACAGCTCGAACTTGTGACCTAACTTTATCGTTGTTCCAAGGCTCCCCTTCAATTTGTACCATGGATACCACAAAATTAACCAACACTATAATCAAAAAAATTGGAAGGTGCCCATTCTTCCTTTTTAACCGCTATCAATGTAGTAGGAGACAATCCATATTGTTCCCATGAAAATCAGTAGAGATTCAAAGAATGTTGTTGCAATTTATTCATCATTTTCTTCGCCAACTCTTTGTCATGACAATCCATTCGTGTGCATGGTCTAATAATAAATGAAAATTATTCCAGATTCTCAACCAAGGCTCTCGACTCTCAACCTCCTTTCTATTTATGGCGGTTTAATTATGGTCACAAAATTAAAGTACTAATTAAAAATGGGAGGAATTTACACGTTTGATTATACCTTATAAGGTTTTAGAGAAGGTTGCCTAGATATATGACACACAAATTACTTCTTCAATCTCTAGGTTTTGATTTGTTTTAGTTGAGAATGAATTATAACTTAGGATCAAAGCTGATGAAAATTTAGCACAAAAAATATGCTCTGGCTAGTTGGCTACCTATTAATTACCTGCTATAACAGATAAAGGCCAGTGATCTGATATAAAATTTATTTACACATATGGTAGATATAACTATACACATTGCGAAGTTCATGTAACTTATGGTAAAAATTGTTTACCAGAAGATTTGCTTATGGTAATTGGTTCTTAAATTTTATATCACATTGATGAAACTTATAATACATGGCTTATTCAGTGCCTGTGGATTTAAAAATATCAGAAAAAATGTTACGATAAGAACAACTTTGGTTTTCATTCAGTGTCAAATTAAATAGTGTTTAGCTTACGTGATAATTAGGTTACAAGGGTTTGATGCATGGGGAGATGTATGTATTAAGGGAACGTTTCGTAGGAGGTATTAGAAAAAATAATACAAGCATTAGCTTTGTATATTACAAATTTCTTGTTTGGTACATTTTTTCAACCTATGGATAATTAATACTTGTATTAGTTATATATCCTATTTGTTGTTATCCAATGTATAACTAATACATAGCAAACTGTGATATTAGGAATGCAAGAATTTTTAATACTTGCATTAGCATGGTTAAGGACATAATTATATTACCTCTTAGATCCCTCAAAGTGTACAAAGTTAAAGAACGTGGATGGTATTTTTGTAAATAACCAATTTTTTTAGAAATTATGCAACGCTCTAATATACCAAACCAAATAGTGAAATAAGATATAATCTCAGCATAACTAATCCCAGCATTACTAATACCAGCACGACTAATACACCCTATACAACATTATTCTTACACCTCCTAAATCGAATTTTCACATGTAAACCTTAGAATTGGGCATATAGTAGAGTGTTAAAGAATGCTATAATATCCATCATCGGTCGTATAAAAGTTTGCAAAGGGTTTAACTATGTCAAGTACAATTCATTGTCTTAAGGTTTTAAGTTGGATGCTCAGATTCTTTCACGCTATGCACTCACTACCATATACTCATATCATATGTTTGAAAAATTCTAAAAACATGTATGTGTGTGCAAGTGCCAAAAACTGCAGATAATGTAATCCTTGTCTGAGACCACATTTCTTCAACTATAAAAAAAGGTAAAATTTTATATTTGGATTGGCCAAACTAAAGCAATTTTTCTATTGTCAATTTCCTTAAATTTTGTGTTCTCACCTTATATTTAAAGAGTAAATGCAGCTAATAATGGAAATTAATGATGCTTCGGTTGACTTTACTAAAGTATCACTAGTTCCACTTTATTATGTGGGATTTCCCTGTTTAGGCTGCTTCATCTTGTAGAAAAAAAAATCATTGATATTGGAAACTACAAGTAAGAGTTTAATATCTTAAAACCCACTTATGATTTTTCTTTTATGGTGGAGAACCCATAAAACCCACATTATGTCTCACCTATTTGTATAACCTAAAAAATCTTGTAACCTAAATTTCTAGAGCTAACTTCTCGTCAGTACAAATAACAAATCCATAGACATCAGTACATCACACGTGAAGCCATATTTTCTTCTTTTCATTTTCTGGGGTTGTATCTTGTTATCTTATAGACTAATATGAAGCTATTGTGTTTCAACATGCAGAAATCCTTAGTGTTTGTGATGATTATAGTCATGGTTTCTTCTTGCTTCGGGGTGGCGTCTCCACGGAAAACATTGATAGGAGGACGTGAAGAACGTATAACGGACAATGGAGTGGGAATTGGTGTAAAGAAAGAGTATACGTTTCCAAATCGCGAGATAGACAATCATCATAATATACCAAGAGAGTACTATAGCCAGAGGGGAAACAACTCTACTGGAGGAGCTGCTGGTGGTGGTGACAATGGTGATAAGTGAAGGGCTTGAACTTTGTACTTGTAAGCCTTAACAACTGTTTTCTACTGGTGTGTTCTTCTTTTCATGTTTTGTGAGAGTTTCGCTACCTTTAGTATTAGTATATGTAACGAGATTTGATGAACCTAAGTAGGAACCGGCTGACCCCTTAAGGGCGTACTCGATGCAAAACCGGATTAATCGATGGCCATAGTTGGCTTCTCGTCACTGGCATACTCCAGGAAGCGCGCTTGATCCCCTCAAGGGCCTACATGATGCAAAACCGGATTAGTCGGAGAGATGGCCTCAGTTGGCTTCTCATCATCGGCATACTCCAGATGATGAGTAGCATAGGGCAAGCAACTGTTGTGATTGGATTGCATGTAAGTTGTAAGAAATGAAGTGTAGATTGATAAGATTTAGCTTTGGCTAGCCTGGAGTCTTGAATAAGAAAAACAAGACTAGTTATTTGCCATTTCCATCCTACTTTGCTGTGACGCACATGGCAAAGAATCTGACCCAAATCAATTTCCTTATGTTTCAATTCTTGCACAATTTGAAGAAGTAAATGAGAACTCAGCACAGCAGCACAAACTAATCGATGTACTACCTTATGCACAAAATGCTGAAATGAAACATGAAGTCCTCGTATCAATTCAAAATTCAAAAAGGTTACAGATGCGACAAATGCGTTTCTAGAGGTAAGAAAGATTGTACATAAAACCTTTTTACTTGAAACGAAGCTGCTCTATACACGAACGATGCAGTAAGTTGGTATAAGAGAGCTCAACCAATGTTTGCATGGACATTTGGGGTGGCCACTGGATGTTATTCCTGCAATTTTGCATAGGAGAGGAAGTGCAGCTGAATAAGTTGGTAAAAGAAAAATCAACGAATCTTTGGATGAACAGTTGGGGGTCGTCACTGGATGTTACTCCTGTTAGTATGCACGGGAGAGGATGAAGAACATGGAGAACGGCTCTTGCACCTCCCCTTTCTCGGATATGGATGCATGTTTGCCAGTTCACTGACTCGATGCAGGACAGACTTTGGCAGAGGTCGCCAAGACAAGTTATGTTTACCCTTTTCCTGCATCAATTGAAAATCCAATCAATCATGAGAAAAATAAGTTCTCTGAAACAAGGGGATGTCTAAACAACGTCAAACTTTCCGTGAGTCTAATTGATCATCAAATGTAGTGGCTCGAGTAAAAAGTATACCAAACTCAGCATATGGGTGTAGATTCTTGACAGTTGATCTTCCTCCTAAATTGATGAGTAATGACTCGTGCTATTTTTTTTAATCACCAAGAAATGCCCGAGGCCAATGACGAAAGGTTTGAAACTCGATAATGGGCCCACCCCTCTACCCTTCTCCACTTAAATACCAGGCTTTTGTCCGCGGCGGTGTTCAAACCCATGATGTGAGCCTAACCCACACCATGTATTGCGCTCTTACCACTAGACCAAAGCCCCGGGGGCGAGTACTACTCATGCATATTCAATAACACTCCACTATACAACAATCTGATTTCACCAACATAATTTAGTATACTATGACTCCAATGCACAAGCACAAATAAAATCTTCAAAACAGATAATCACGATGACTATAAAGACAACAAAACTAAAACAGACAAAAATTGTTGCATCAAGTTAATTAGTGACTCGTGATTCATAGCAAGCATCAAGCACCATTCATCAAATTTAGAATATGAAAACTAACCGTTATTTTGCTTTGTTTCTGAAGATAGCATGCTTTAAGAAGATTTCTCCATTTATCCTGCCAGAAGTTTAAGCCACAGAGTACCAACTTTAGGTATATTAACATTCAAACACTAGATGACGCTACTTTTTTTTTCTCATCTGGTTGAAGAACGCCTGAGAGTAACTATTGTGCTTACCTTGAGATCCACAGCTGTTCTATGAGCAGAAGATGAGAAATAAAGCTTCTTTATATGACTCCATCTTCCAACTCCATATTGGGCAACACCATCAATCAACTTTCTGACCTCTGAAACAGTCCAGAGCCTATGATGTTTCCTCCGTGCACCATCTTGATCCAACTTCTTCAGTGCAATAGGATCATCTTTAGGATTCACGACTGTAACCTCCTTGTGAGCTTTCATAACCTTCAAAGAGATCAACTTTAACTGTCAAGGAAAATGATATCTGAAGACTCTTGAAGATGTTAGTATCAAAAAGATATCAAGGATCCATAAAAGTATGGAGGGTATCACGATATGCTCAATAAGACAATGCTATCACCCTTTGATTTCAAAAAGCGAACCTACCACCCACCACCTAAAAAGTTCAAGCAAGCACAGTGTTACACTGACTCCTTGGGTTTTGAACAGATTGCCAGCAAAGAGGTAATTAAGTTTTTGAATTAACTAAATAGAAAAGAAATCAATTCAATATTGTTTTCAAATTTATCATATAAATAAGATTACTTGTCAAGCTGATAAAACTCTTAAGGTACATATCGATATTTGATCATTGATTGAATTGTTTTGAACTGAATGTTTTACCTAGAATGATTCAATTAATTGACTTAATTGCTGTTGGCAGTGAATCTGTTTCAGGTCCTTCCCATATTTTTGTGAGTTTGAGAGCCTTTTATGGCTTAGCCAAGAATCCCTTTCAAGGTGCCACCTAGGCAAAGTGAGTTAAGAGTCACTTAATGGCTCATATGTTGCTTATTTGTTATTTGTGAACTCATTTGCACGACCCCAAATAATACTACTAGCATAATAGCACCTTTAATGTGCTAACACATGAACACCGAGCAGATCAGAAAGGATTACAAATATGAAACTGAACATTCTGTTTAACATTTTTTGGTGTGTACCTGTATCGCATTGGATGTATGCCGCTTATCACATTCTTCATTCACTAGAGAAGCAAAAGGCACTTGAATAGCTCTACAAGAAGACTCTTCGGGAAACAATTCCATTTCCGTAGATTCTGCACGAGATTTCTTCTGACATCTGACTCTAGGAAGCTTATCCTTTGATGCCGATGCACAAGTAGAAACTTCTCTTTTCCTAGAACGTGTAGCATTAAGATCTGAGGATTCATCAATATACCTTCGTGTAGGCTTGCGCAGACGCTTTTGAGTGAGAGGTGTGTCAATGTTCATTGCTTGAGAAGTGACTGGAGGGCTTATTGCTGAAAATTCATGCATATCAAATATTTCACAGTTTACATCTTGCCCCTCATTTCGCGTAGCATTAGACATAAAAGAAATTCCTTTAGACGTTAGAACAGAATGGTCAATCACGCTGTCATTCATCTTCTCAGAAGATGCAGCTTCAGCAAAGAAGCCTGCCACATCATCCACATTGCTGATATCTCCTGGAGTGAACGCAGTAGGGAATTTGATAGCATTGTATTCAACCAGTATCTGACTTTCACATTTATCACGAGAGAGGTCATGCAACTCCGAATTGGTAAGGCCAAACATAGCATTCTGGCTTTGAGATTCTTGCACAACTAATCCAGGTGATAGTGGAATCTGGCTTTCTAAGATAGGGTCCAGCAATCCTCTACTTGAGCCATAATCCAGATTTGTGATGCTTTCAGCAAATTCAATATCTGTTTCCAAGAAGACCAGAAAACACATGTAGATCTTCTTGATATACAATATTCTGTCGTAAAAACATCATTACTTACACAAAGAAGTTTACCTAAAAGATAATCTTCACATGGTGTGGAGAGGTCATTTTGTGCTTGAATATTTCCAGCTTCAAAGTGACTTCGCTTTAGATCAAGCACCTGGCACAGTTACCACGTAATTCAGTGAAGACAAAGATCTCAAGATAATAATGATTGAAAGAACAATTTTTCTGTATCCTAGATGGGTAAAATAATGCAGAAGGAAAAATGCATACGGTGGTATCTGAAGTACCTCCCTCAAACTGCATCAACCCCCCCCCCCCCCCCCCCACTACCCCCCCAAAACCCCCCCAAAAAAAAAAAAAACAGAAAACCAGCAGAACAGCCAACATGCACAGGAAAGGGAATTCCACAACCAAAAAATTAGTAGGAAACAACTTATGGATTCCAGAGACAAAAGATAAATCAACTTAGGGGTAGCAAAGCAAATTTGATGTACATCAAAATGTCAAAGCAATATAAAGAACAATTCCTTGATGTCTAACTGCAACATAATTGTGGAGGTCAGTTTAATCTATGAGCACTTTTCGGCTTATCTACACATTTGACAAAATACATACTACAAGGGGCAATGGAAGATGATATTCCATACACTTTCATAACTTTCAGAAATCCATTATAAAATATCTTCAGGGAACCTATATCTAGAAGAGAGGTAGGAAAACTGCTAAACAAGACAACGAGACAAACTTCTTCCATACATTTTTAATCAACTAAAATGTAATTTTCAAACTTCTTTATATACATAAAAGGAATAAACAGACGGACAAACTTTATGAGATATTACAGAGGTAAAAAAAAAAATAAGAAACAGATTTTTTTTTTTTGTGATAACCGAGAAATCCCCGAGGGCCAGTGGCAACAAGATACAGGCTCTTCCAAAAGAAAAATAGGGGAAAACAGTTCTTCAAAAATGTAAAAATGCGCGACAACAATGACATAAACTTGTGACCGAAGTATCAAATTCCTGATTGGGCCAAACAAAACTAGGAAAAGAAAAGCATACATGGGCTAAAAGTGTTAAAAGAGAAGGGAATTTCTAAATGCATAAAACGTCTTAAACTAGATTAGTCGTATTCCACGATCTATAAAAGCAATTTACCAAAGGGATGGTCACATACTTCTTGGTTAATCTCATCTTCCCGTTTAGCTGCAATGCTGGAATCTGAAACCACAAAAGTGAACTATTAGAAACGATCATAGCATGATTATAGATAAGGAACACACAAAACACTCAAAGGAAAAGGGCTACAATATATATTATAATATACTATATGCCATAGCAACTATCTTCTGAAGAACTAAAGAAATAATAAGACGACGTACCTATATTGTACAAGACACCTTTCCTTTCCATGCCCTTTAATACCCTCTTCTCATCAAAACACAAGACACCAGAGACAGAAGCATGAACATCACGGGTTTCTAAAAAGCAACATACAGCGTAAATTATATCATCTTGCAAAGCATGAATAGCAAGTTCATCTTCTATGAGCTAAGAATCAGTCATTACATTACCAATTTAGCGTAAAAACATAAAAAGAAGATCATCAAGTAAGACATGTCATGAGCAATCCTCTTTAAAAGATATGCTGGTCTCTGTAAATGACAGTCACACTGCATAAAGATTAGACCTTTTTATGGTGGAAGAGAATTGGAATCATGCTGCAGGATTAATTCAAGTTGAATTCAAGTTGTTTTTTTTTTTTGTTTCAAGGGTCACAATTTGTCCACGTTTGAAGAATGAAGTTTATCTCTGGCGACTTGCATCAAAGGACAATGGAACAGATTTCGCACTTCATAAAATTAAGCTTACAGTAAAGTAACAAATTAGCCAACCTAAAATCAGAAAATAGCTGATATTATCATCAGACATTTAAAAGCTTAATAGAAAATACTTGACTAGGCATGCTATTCAGTCTCTTTGTTTATTAAGTATTTGATGTAATGAGGTCAGCTATAGACCATTACAACTGAATAATTACTCGCTGTAGACCATTACAACTGAATAATTACTCTCTGCTTATATTAGCTCGGAACACACACATTGTGGCACCTGAACAACCTATTAGAGCACCAATGCAGGCTTGGGTGTCAAACTTACCTCCTTGGTCAATCTAAGTTACCGTCAAAATAGAATAACTCCGGCAGCCATTACCCAAAACAGAACAATCAATGTATCAAGATTTCATATTCATCTGGAATTAACAAGAACATGACAATGACTTCCTTAGATCAGAATAAATTAGTAATGCAAGATAACAAGAAAAGTGTATAAAGTATACGCACATCAATCATAAACAGGAAAAATAATCTAAATCACATCAAGCAAGACGAAAAGGAAAAACAAAGTATTAACAAGGAACAAACTAGTTCATATGAAGTAACAAGTAGCTTGAGAGTTGAGACTCGAACAATGAACCAATTAACATTTTGCACCGGCACAAAGCATCAGATACAAATCAATATATTGTTGAAAATATATGACAGTTAGCTAGTACCTGATTCATCAAACCAGACCCCTAGAGAAGCAAAACCACTCCGATATGCTATATTCTGCAGGCACAGATGCACAAATGTTAGACAGTTAGACTTGGTACATATGCATAAATGTAGTAGATTAAATGTAAAAAAAAAAAAAACTTAGGCCTAGTCATCCACAAGCTAGCTCATGTACAAAACCATAGACAATAATACATTCCCTCAACCAAACTTGTGCCTAACTCAACCAGAAAAGCTAGCTCGGGGGGAGGGGGGGGGGTGTCCAAGACCATGTAAGGAAATGACAACTCATTCCCCTCAATGTTCAATAACAATTTCCAATTAAACAACACACACATTTCCTCAATGTGGGACATTAAGTACTTATATCCCAAATCAGGTAAATGCCTAATATGTGCCTATAAAAGCAATTAGGTCTAAGATAGTAGTCTAAATTTATTTTAATCTCTTCTCCTGTTCGTTATTTCTCACAACAAACAGTCACCACAGAGTAAAAATTTGTGTCGGGGACATCGTGCAGGCAAGTTGACATCCATTGGCAGTATTTAAGAGGTGGGGTTATTCTGGAACATTTTGAAAACACAATGTTTCCTTAACTATCTTGAGAAACTTAAAAATGGACATAACCCCGATTCACTAATAACCCTACCAATCACGAACTCTATTATGTCGTTTTCAAAATGGGAAGACAGCAAATTTTGATGGTAATTAGCAAGGTATTTTTTTCTTTTGGATAAATTAGCGACCAAATTATTGTCCTTCTGTTTTACCTTTTAATAACAGTTGTTGTCTTTAAATTCTGTTCAACTAAAAAAAGTGTTATTGCAATAATATTTTAGTAGTTTTACAATTTTATGCATTTCATGTTTATCTATCTAACGGGAAAAGGTCATTATCTTTATCAAGGTTTCTTTTATCCCTAGCAAATTGCAAAGTCTTTCTGACCAAAGCAATCAACTTATTAAGTAACATTAGATACAACATTTCCAAGCATATGATTTGGAAGAGCATGTGTTCCCACTACTCAGCCCAACAAAAGAGGATCTTGAAAGCAGTATTTTAATGCGAAGAAGCGACAAGGTCCATGGAGTTTGAAGCCAAAAGCGAGAGGTGAAGCACACTATTTTCAGGAAAAGAAATACCGCACATACATGAACATAGTACTATAATAATTAAATTTCAGTTAAAACAACTAATCGATGTTCAATTTACATAAATGTTGGTTTTAATCAAACTCAAAAAGTTAAGACTCAAATCAACCGTTTCTCATTGGGATCACTTCTGCATCTACTTTGAAGCGCACATTTATCTAAAGCCCATGGTTTTTCCATGAAGCAGTGACCCCTCGTGTCGCATCACTTCATAGCTTTACACCAGGAAGCAATGGCTTTTAATAACCACTACTTGAAAGAGAGCTTTCAACCTTAATTTTCTTTGGCTTCGGCAATAGGAAGTTGTACTGTATGTATTGGAAGGGACAATAGGGAAACGCAATTGAGCAGCGCGCGCGTCCCCAGAAAGGGAAACGCTCAGGAAGAAAGCTTTCAACCTTAACTTTTTCTCATTCACAAGAAGGAAAGTTAAAGGGATTGTCTTGGAAAGGAAAATAGCACAAGTTGAACCACGTATCCCCAGAAAAGGAAACGCTTTCAACACACAAAGTCACAACTAAACAATCTTGTACTTGGGAGCCCAATACTTTCTTATAGATACAAGCTCTCCAAAATGCCAAGGAAGAAATGTACTTCAAGAAGGATCTCCTCTATGCTATTTTATTAATCTATAATTTACTTTTCATAGGTCCTTCTCTATGCTATTTTATGCAGCGTCATTGAGCATTAATCATATCGTTTGATCATGGGGTCAGTGGCGGAGCTAGGTTAAAGAAAGAGATTCAAATTAAAAATAACATACCCAGTGTAGTCCTCCAAGTGGGGTCTGAGGAGGGTGGCGTGTACGCAGACCTTACCCCTACTTTGCAAATAGTGTAAACCAAATTTTTGGTTGTATAAAGTAATGAATCCGCTCAACATAAGAAAAAATTGTGGTGAAGTGGCAATGGGGGTTCAAAAATTGCTACTCCGCCACGGCATGAGGGAAGGGGCTAAAATAACTCTACATGTATCAGTAAATCGTTCCGCTAGTGGTCAATTCAATTGTTGAAACACATACTTCAAATGCTTTTTCAAAATTATAGAAAATGTCTACTAAGTAATAAAGATATGGTTTTTATCCTTCATCTCTTTTTACTCTAAATTTAGAAAAAAGGAGTACAAAAATAACCAAAATTGAGCAGAAATTTTAACATGCATGAGCCGTTTTGAGTTCACAAAATTGCAATACAAAATAAAACTACATTCTTATCAACAAACACAAATTTCACAATTCTTTAAAGTTCAATCAATGCCTTCCCAAAATCAAGACAAATTTCATAATGTATTGCACATAAGCATAATCAATAGTACAAGTAAAAAAACTAACATAAAAATGACAAAGGAAAATCAATACACTAACCTGATTCATCAGTAAGAGAGTCAATTGTAGTGTCAATGTACTGTGTGTGTGAGAGAGAGAGAGAAAATGAAGAGGAAAGCGAAGGGGAGAGAGAGAAAGTGAAAGAGTCGTAGGTACACAATACATTTATGGGACGGAATCGAAAGGAATTATAAATTGCTGTCAGTTTTGTGTTATGTAAATAATATATTTGCGTTTGGAGTCCGCTATGGTGATACTTTTGAGTGCACTCTTGAGTTGTTACGTCTCTTTGTCTTTTGACACGTGGCATGCGCTTTTTGCATTGTTTTGTGCTAACCACCGATTCAATTATAGAGAGGAGGCCTTAAAGTTGAGAAATTCGAATAAAAAATTTCTTATTTAAATATACACCTTTTCGTAACAAAACTTAGCTCAAAGTAATAATATAAAACAAAAAGATAGACAACAATGTAGAGAAAAAGAGATGAGACTTATTTCTTCTATGTATTCAAGTGTGTACAATGTGATGCCCAAACCCTCTATTTATAGGATGATATAGGTAATACAAAGGGACTTCATAAACATGGTATTAACTATTGAGAACATGTGGGAAGATCATGGAGGTGTGGGATTACATCCATAATGGTAAGAAGTAGTGAGAGGTTAATGGAGAAGAGTAGTGGGTGTTACTCCCTTAGGAGTTATGGACATCCACCATAATCAAGTATTTCATAACACTCCCCCTTGGATGTCCAAAGATAATGTGCCTCGTTAAAACCTTACTAGGAAAAAACCCCATGGGAAAAAAAAATTCTAGTGAAGGAAAAAGAGTACACATATCTGTAATACGCTTTATTTGCTGCCTCGTTAAAACCTTGCCAGGAAAACCCAGTGGGATAAAACCTTAGCTAAGGGAAAAAGAGTACAGCACATATTTGCCTCCCCTGATGAAAATATCACGACGAATTCCAAGCTTGTCTAACAACTTCTCTAATATTGAGATCGGCAATGCCTTGGTGAATTATTCCGCCAAATTATCACTTGAACGATTTCTTAAACATCTATTTCATCATTCTGTTGAAGATCGTGTCTGACAAAGAACTTTGATGAAATATATGATTTATTCAGTCTCCTTCAATATTCTTCTTTCAATTGAGATAAGCAAACACCAGCTTCTTCATTATTATTGGAATCTTCTCTTCAAAGAAAAGTCACACATCTTGTGAAATGATAATATGACAATTCCTCACATACAAATAGATTGTTTGAAGAACGGACTTCAATAAATGCCTGCATTTGCATAAACAACAAAACCTTGACAATATTTGTTAGGATAAACAAATCTATATCAATGATTCTTTTTGCAATATAATACTAATCATATTTCAATATCTCCATATAGCCTTTATACTCTCAGCTGTTGGGACTATTCGTCCAAACTTCATATTTTTCAGATGAAGTCAATTTTCATTGCATATTTTTCATTTGGCCAATCATTTATCTATCCAAATTCCATGACAGATTTGAGCTCAAGATCCTTGTCAGTATTAATAATATTGAGCGCTACATTATATTAACAACATCATCGATGATCATTTTACATCGGTTCCATCATCGCACAATAAAGACATAACTTATTGAGATCTCATTATTTTCAGGTACCTAAGCCTCTCCCATGAGGTCTTATAAAGTGTTATGTCATGGTGCTCTCATAAAACACTTGCCTCCTTATTATGACCATTTTGAACTATTGCTCCCTCATTCTTCAAGGAGTTTTATCTTTGAAACCGATTTGTCTATTACGCTTCATGCGTGCCATAAACTCTATCCATTATGGACGTTATTCTATTTGGAGCATTAACAGTTGGAATATGACATTTAGCTTTGGGTCAGCAATGTGCTTGAAAATATTTTAGAAATGAATTATCACTTGAACTTCAAGTTCACATTTTCTTGTACGAGGATCTAGATGTATTTATAATAGTTCATTTCACGTATCACTTTTTCAGATGCCCATTTTCTCCCCCTAATGTCGGGATCACCAACACATTTTTCAACCTTCTTTGGGAACCCATCTTTGTGCATTGTGGCAGCACAATTAAATTATATAGCACATTCATATTTCTAGATGGGAATATTTGGTTCCTGATCGTGAACCAAATGTGATGGGGAGAATTTATTATAACTTGTTGGCTAGATGCGTACAAGTGTTATTTTATATTAAATAATACACCTCATACCAAATTTCTATTTGGGAGTTTTGTTCTCATAACCAATGGTTTAGCTATAATTGGAGGCATACAATTTCTGCTAAACTAACTTGGATTTAGACCAGCATTATCAAGATAAATTATCATAATATATATTCTGGAACTGTGCTCTAATAATTTGAGCAAACAACCTTGCAAAAACCAAAGTGCAAGTTGATAACAAACGCACATGTGACCATACAATAGATGTATCTATTAAAATCATATAATAGTAAACGGTCCACATGGCAGGTGACTGGGCCCATATATATATCACCTTTTATACGTTCCAAAAATCAGATAATACAATCTCAACCCCAGCTGGTATAGTAATCAATTTATCATGAGAACAAGTCATACATGAGAATTCTCGAAGAATCTCCTTATTCTTCAATTTATGTCAATGTGAATTCTCAATCATTTTTCGCATCATAACTGAACCGGGATGGCCAACCGGTCATGCCAACTGATATTTGTTTCAGTAAACATTTAATTTACTATGGCATGTGATTTTATCATCATGCTTATACATCTGTAGTACAAATAGAAGAAAAATCAGGTAACCTTCATATTTACCCGGTATATTATAGTAATATGAAGATAATCGATCTTCCTTTCATTTATAGTCTCAATATGCCAACCACTTTGGCTAATACATTTGAAACTCAAAAATTCCTTTTGAGACTTACTACAATATCAATGTCATGAACAATTTTATTCATCCGGGTCAGAGCTCTTAATTAATTTTGTACTACAAAATCTTTTGTCACACCATCCATATGGTAAATATCTCTTTCACGGAGAAAATCATATCATAATAATTGTCATGTTCAAAATCATCATAAGGAAAATCATTTCTTGCTTTACTTTTGCCTCTAATAACTTTTTATAAGGCATGGCAAAATATTTTCGGCGTACCACATGTACACGACCAATGACATATTTGTATAACCACATAGTAATGTTCATGATCTTTCTTTCTCTCAAACATCCCGTAGATGTGAGTTGTAGTATTTATTCAATCATGCATAAATACATTCTTGTGCATAATTTGTATTACATATATATTTTCACACTCACTTCAAGAATGAGTCTGCATTTACAATGCTTATCACAAGTTGCATACTTTCAATAAAATAGTCTATAATCGTCTGAGCGTGCCTCATATTTACAGACCATATTGATACACAATTCCTTCACCTTTGAAGGATTATTTTGAGAACCCTTATTGTTCTCCTTTTATAATTACCATAATGATGACTATTATTATTTTGGTCTTTGGCACGCCCACATTCATTAGTCAACCACTTGTCTTCATTTAGATTTATTATGCACCGCTATCACATTCACTTCAAGAACGGAGCAAATCGAGTGGGACAAGCTTCATGCTTTTTCATGAAAAATACATTATTTTCATTAGTCATCATTATATCATCAATATGGTGCATTAGGACTCAAACCCAATGCCTTACCCATATAAAGGTGTGCGTGTAAGGCTATAATGCGTTGGAACTCAAACCCAACTCTTATCATCATGGTGCACCAGGACTCAAACCCGGTGTATTATTCTCGTGGTGCGTTGGGACTTGAACCCACCGTCTTACCCTCAGTAAATGACATAATAGACTAAAGTGAGCCTTGACCCATTGATTAGCTCTACCATGATGGACATCACTCTGGATCAATAGATTTTCTTTACCACCAAATCTTTACATTTTATGTCTTGTTATTAATTTCTCTTTTATTACACACATATACAAATAGGGAAGTGTCATGCCATAGAGTACATCATAATAAATATCTATATATTAAAATATATAGAAATTTATGTATATATTTATTGAAATAGAAAACTATTAGCTGAAAGATTCAATCCAAGAAGAATATACTGTCTCGTAAAATAAAGAGTGACTAGTACTGTTACTAGTATATTCAAGTTTCAGAAAGTTAATAAGAAGCAAGAATATCTTGCTCGACAGTTTACATATTCCAATAGGCTAACTATCTATAGAACATAATGATATCGCTATGGCCAAGTTCCAGCAAAGTCACGTTACTTCTAATATTTTAAGCCTTTGCTTTTAAAGTCATTAGTTTATATAGTTAGATGAAGAATTCAATGAAGGCAGTAAACAACAACAAGGAAAGAATTAGTTAGTTTAACAACTATTATGATCAAACACATATACTTTCGTGAAACTAAAAGGCCATGAGGATTGTACCAAAGTATAAATTATTTCACAGTTTCTAATGGAACTAAGCTCCAAAGTTAAAAAATCGTACCGGATTTCCACACCATAAGATGGAGTAAAATGATACAATGTGACTTACTTGGAATATTATCCTTGTCCGATAAGAGATGTAGCGAATAAAAACATATCTTTCCAGTTACTTATTTCACTGGATACAAAAAGAAAAAACCTTTCAATTGACAATTGCACATAAAGTTATGCAAAAATACAAAAGAGTGAGTGGGGTTTAGAAGAATGAAAAACTTATCTTTGCATTATCATCCAAGACATTTTTCATTATACTTAACCTTATGTCTACTTATAATTCGAATTTACCAACAATATAAAATGTCAACTTATCACTTGGCAAAGCAGCAAAAGCAATTTTGTCTCCCATGGAAGGCTTTCATCTCTTATAGAAAGTATATGAAGAATATAGCAATTCGTGCTGATAACGTATTACAAAACTTAGCTCAAAGTAATAATATAAAACAAAAAGATAGACAACAATGTAGAAAGAAAGAGAGGAGAGAATCTTATTTCTTCTATGTATTCAAGTGTGTACAATGTAATGCCCAAACCCTCTATTTATAGGATGATATAGGTAATACAAAGGAACTCCATAAACATGGTATTAACTATTGAGAACATGGGGGAAGATCATGGAGGTGTGGGAGTTA